CACAATCTATGTAGTATACCCATCATGCATTGCAACTGATATCTATATATTTCTACTTCAGTTCTGATTACCCACATGGTTCCATCACAATATATGCCTTATCATTGCATACTAAACATGATACAGAAATAATTCTTCCAAATGCTTTCAGTGAGCTGTCAGTTGATGAGTATTTATTAACTCCACGTGATAGACACAACCTAACTGCAAGGTTTGTAATTATGCTGTCAGTTTGAGGATCTAATAAGGTATTAACCTTTTCACCACCAGTTCCCTCTTTTCATCACAAATTCACAAAATTGTCCGATTTAAATTTGCATTTTCCTTCAAAAGATTGAGACAAAAGTAGTTAAAAAATTCTGTCTGTTGGCTCCAAAATTAGGTGTCATTTCCAGAAATATTGAATGTAAGAAAAAAGTGCAGAGAAATTTGGGTGGGAAAATCCAGTGGTGAAAAGGTTAACACTAAAGATTATGCAAATGAATTATTTGCTATGAATCTGTAATTAACAATATGTATTAATTAGTCTCACATGAATGAATCTTTTTAATATTTAAACCTGATCACCTTAAGTATCCTGATAAGTGTAAATGAACAAATATTTATTTTTGTTTTTCAGAATTGTTGATTTAAATGGAGTTGCCGTGAGAATGATAAATAATCACACATTGCCAGATTTGTCACCACGGCATATTCACCGTGGTGAAAACCTTATACTGCCACCATTGTCATTTGCATTTTATGTTATTCCAAATGCCATGGCGATGGCATGTTTATAGGTAGAACAAAATTTGATTTGCTTGTATAATATAAAATATGATATTCTGTATTCATAAAAATGTATCACAGTAAATACTTTTGTAACTATATGTATTTTGTAGGCCAGTAAAACATAGTGGATACGTTGTTGTATGACTGATCAGCCTAATAGGGTGATTACGGTAAATATATGTAGTTGCGCTGTGAAATCGTTAAACACTTTACTATCAAGGCTCGCATGTGATATAGTCCTTATTGTATTTAATCATACTCAGTATTTATTTTTCACATTTATGAGCAACTTAGTGTTTGTTCTAATTAATCGGTTTATTACCATGTCATTCTGTTGTCACATTGTTAGTCAATTTGAGATAACTCGTCATGCGTTGGCTGATTGAAACAAGAGATAAACAGGAAAACTATGCAGGGCTGGAGGACAATTCACTGATTGAGAGACACGGATGGAGACAGAGAGTCATATACTAAAGGGAGCAGTTTCATCCTCTGAAAGTTGCTAAATTTAAGTTGTGGG